TATATATAATATCGTAAAAACATGTCGAAAATTTTAACGAAATTAACATCGTGCAGTTGCAATTTTTCTTGGATGTCATGGATTATATTATTTAACGGTTAAAAAATTTCATTTTCATCTCTTAGCTCATTCTAAACGGTAACATGGCGTAGTTTTTGCTCGCTAAAATGGCTTCTCTTTTGTTAATACGTTCTTGAGGGTGGATGTGGGTGTGCAAGTCGATCTAGCCCACACCCACACTCTGTTCTAAAAAACGTTTTGTATTTTATTTCATACTGAAATAAATAAAATTTACATTATCATGAACATAAGACAGTTTTTCTTTAAGATAATACAAAGATTGCTAATTTTCAGTATAATTCATTTTTCAATTTAAATAGATATTGTCGAAGATTCGACATTTCATCGTACTGGGTGACCCAAAATAATTGCAACATCGAGTATTTCGCAAATATCTCAGCATGGATAAATCCTATAATGTTAAATTTTGTTTTTAAAAGATGCACTGTGAAAAGCTCTACAAAAAACCGTGTAAGGAAATTCCTATTGAATTGGTGTAATAATTTTTAGATACTCAAAATGAAGAACCCGTATGCCAGTGTTATGTATCATCGTATTGAGCATGATAAAAGTGTTTGGACAACCTTTTTGTTTTGTTATAAAAAGTTGATGATGCAGCTTCTGTAGACCTTTCGAAGGCGTATCTTTTAAACAAATCCAGATTTTATCATTTTCTCGAGCCGAGATATATATGGAATACCAAATGTTGTAAATGATTTCGAACAGCTCGTGAGCCGTCACTTTTAATGATCTCGGAGGGTTTGAGTGTGTGTGTGAATGTTTTAGTTGCTGAAAAGAAAGCTTCAGTCACACCCACATCCATTCTTTGTGGATTTTAAAATAAATTATAGAGTAAGACGTATATTAAAATATTGATATACTCAGCTTCTCAAGTAGACCTTTACTAAAATATTTATGGAGTTGTGAACTTTGAATTTTTCATCTTAGTACTTATCGAATATTCATCATACTGCCCAAAGATATATTCTGAACATGAGTGTATTCTAGGTATTTGAGTGGCTTAGTTTATCAATTTGCGGAAAAAAACACATCGCTAATAAAGAGTAGAGCGGATGAACTTTCTCTATTCAGATGTGTATCATTATCTATCATAGTGTAAGAAGATCATACAGTAGTGTTGTGTTGCTATTTTTCGGTTGATCATATATGAAGAAGATAAAATTGTTTTAAAATATATCCTGCATGGCAAATGTTCACTAACAATGCTGTACAGTTTTTTTTTACACATACTGGTTACATGATGGTTAATCCTTGGGCAAAACATGATCTCATAACTATAAATTTTACTTCCGAATAGGAGTGTGACTTTAACTTGAGAAACTAAAGTTTTAAGTAATACTTTAACTTTATTTTTAAAGCTAAAGTTAGAGTGGCACCTCTACTTCCGAATCGTTTCAATGGATCACTGCAATATTTATGGGAAAGTAAGGTCTTGAAGTTGTGTCTACTAAGTTTTTCATGTAGGGTGGGTGTGGATGTGACAGTCGGTGTTTGCTATTCCTCTTTACCCACATCCACACCCACACCTACAAACATAGTTCTATGTGGAATTTTTTTTGCAACGAATTAGAGGGTGTGGTTGTATGGTATAGATACCGGTCTAGTATTCTGTTGTCTCACATTCACATGTTCCTGCAACTCTAATCAAACAGATTTCAGATCCATGTGAAAATTTAGCTGAGACTTACCGTAACAGCTTGAAAAGAGATGAGTTTGTTGAAAATCTAATTTCTTTCTTGATAGTGAAAATCTTCTGAAAAGTATCTATAAATGAAGGAAACTCTGAAAAAAAGAAATTAAGGTTTTTCGAAAAAAAAAGTTAAAATCGAAAAATGTACGTCCGTTACATTACATAGAGTAATTTTTTATTCAGTTGAATATCATTTAGAGCTCCCTAGCATGTCTAATGACTGACAGAGATTCGAAATAATAAGAGTAAAAATTTGAAAATTCCCTTCAAAGACACTCGGTTATTCATATAGACCTTCTCTTCACTGCAAATTTCACCTTACATTCACATCTCAAATCGTATTAGGAACTCTGAAAGAAAATAGTAGGAAGAGGACAAAAGCTATTTTTATTAGAATGGAGAAAAATTGTTTCTTTAGCACACAATCCCCAGTGTTCATAGGAAACATATAACCTCAAATGAAGAAAAAACAAACAATGGAGAGAGATCCCATGAAGAAACCTACTAAATTGCTATAGCGTGGCTATGGATCAAAAGAAGTTTTCGTTGAAAGCCGTCCAACTGAAAGGCCATAACGAATAACTTGTAGGGGACAAATTTTAGATCGTAAGAGCACCTATTCCATATGTTTTATTTATTATTTGTAAAATATGGTCACAACTATGAACATCACCTCTAGAATGAGAATTCAGATTTGTCATTGTTAATCAACAGTGCTCATCAAGTTATGTGAAATATCTGGAGAAGATTATATTCATTAAAAAGCTATACTATTTTGTGTGAAATTTCAAGCATCATCTTTTGATAAACAAAAATTTCAAAAAACTCAAGAAAGCAATGGCTTACGAGTGGCTCGTTAACGCTTACAACATTGTAAGATGCTTTTATTTTCATAACCTGTGATTCTCTAAGCGTTTGTCAGCAAGTGTTCTTATTTATACTATAAGTGTACGCCTATGTTGGAAAAAACCAAGCACATGATTTTCTTTTCTCCTGTCCTCTGAATAAAAATAAAAGCAGTCATTTCATCACAGTATTTTGTCTTTCCTTTCTCTGAAAAATTTTTATATTATTATTAAAGAAAGAAATTAAAAAACCATGGAAAGATACTTTTTCATCATTTTATCTTCTTTTCTGCTCCGTCGAGATAGTGAGAAAAAAAATGGAAAAACAGAAATGTTTTTCACTTCTTCTTGGTAGTAACAATTTTCTCCCGGTCTTCACTACACAAAAACCTGGTAGAATAAAATAAACGTTGCCATTATCCACAGTCAAAGATCCTTTTTTCCCTAGAAAAAGATATTTGATGAATAAGCTCACTATTTCTTCATGTACTGAAAAGATATAAAAACAAGTAAAAACATCAACTAAAACATAGTTGACGGTCATCAAGAAGCACATCTTTGTGGTCAATAAACTTCCAAATTGAAGATGAAATTTAGTTAAAAGTTGAAGAAAATAGTCTATAGAAAGAAGTAGATATGTGAAGATGCGAGGGGCTATGAATGTAACTATCTTCTCATGCACTTTATCTTCATTCACACCTTCGCTAACTGTGTTCAACTTGAAAGTTGAGCTCAACTGAAAATCTACTCTTCAAGTTTCTGGGGCACCTACATTTAGAGAGTGGATGTGTTGATCTGAAATTAGAAACTTGAAATTCAACTTTCCAAGTAAACTAAAAACAAGTAAAGGCGAGCGGCATAACTAGTCCGAAAAGCTCTCAATGCCCTTCTAGTCTAGTCTGAAGCGTCCTTCATATCCGCTATGACTAGTTATCATGACAAGAAATGTTCTATAACCACGTCCATATTAGTCCAGAGCGTCCTTGAATCTCATTATCTCTACTCCATTGGAGCGTGTGTGTATTATTCTTTAACACTCACGGCTCACATTCACATGCACACCCCCACCCCATAATTCTATGTAGTTATGGAAGAAATGCTTTATCACACATAAAGTCACACATATCCAGGATAAATAGTAAGAAAAAAATAGAAATTTATATATACCGTCCACTAATGTTACATATACATGTATATTCTGAATCCAGCAGAAATCGTTTTTTTGCATTTTTTCTTGTCGGAATAGAAATGACTGAATACTTTCTTCTTGAGATGCTTCTTTGGGTATGGGTGTAGTTCAAATGAATACCCACACCCCACAAGATAATATCTGGGGAGGTTATTTAATTTTTCAGCGTAAAGAAGATCACTACCATGCGAATTAGATCTATATAAGCGAAAAATAACAACTATTGTTTGATTTAAATCTTTTGATTGTAAGATTTTATAAAATTGTTTTTGTATATATTGTACATTCACTATTGTTACTATTGGTATATAATTTAGTTATTTGATAATTATAAATAAATGTTTAGTTACATTTTAATCTCGAGAGGTCAGTGTTTTTGCATTCCGTATTATTATGCTTTGATTGAAAATAATAGTTCTGTTCAATAGTATACTGTTTAACATAGTTTGAGAGACTTTTGTCGATAGATATCATACATGTGATGCAAGCCTCTTCACATGGCTTGCAGTGCTGAGGCGATCCGTGGTACAGGTCCGAATGAACTCGAGTCGTTCAGGTCGATATCCAAAAATCTATTCGAAAGAGCCTGGCCTCAAAGTATTTGAATCAAATGAAATCTCCACTGTAGCCTTTTGCATACGCATTACTCGCTATATAGTATAAAAAAATAGGCAATGCGTGAGAACAGCATAGATATCGTGCTTCATAGGCCCACGAGTAAAATTACTTCTTAGTACTTACCGAGAGATTTTCATTTGATCATGACATCTTCATCAGTATCATTATTTAAAAGATGTGCAAATTCTCTTAAATAACAAGATGATGCATTCGCTTTTTCTGCTTCAAATGAAAATCATCAAAAAGTTGGAAAAACGTCATCACAAAAAACAAATCGACCAAAAGCGACATTTAGCCGACCGAAGAACATCTTCAGATTTTACAAATAACTATCATTGATCAAATGTCTCTTCAAAATCAAGCTTTTTAACGCTTACAAATATTGTTGAAAACTTACAAGAACGTTTTCTCAATGAATAAACTGTTAAAAAAGTTGATGACATTAACAAGTTTATATGTTAGCCAGCACTTGATTCAGAAGCTCCAAAAAAATTTCATCTTCTTAATCATTTAAAATCACGATATGAAAGTTGTGAAAGCGATATAACTATTGCTGATCGATATACGAGATACAATAATGAAAGCAAGAACTGATAGTATAATTGATAGTTTAATAAAAAAAAAAGAAGTTTTATTTTATATTGATCGTGCTTATGATCTTCGTGTTAATCCAGAATTTATTGATTCATGGAAAATAATATTAATTGAAGGTATAGATGACAAGAAGATTTGGGAATTAATTGATAATAAACGACATTATTGTTTGATAAAGAATGCACCACGACAAGCACAATAACCAACAAAATCATCGAAACAAGGAGATTAACATCTAGATACAATATAATCAATGTATAGAAAATCTTTTTTTCTTTTCAAATAAATTTCTGTCGGATTAATATAATTCTGATCAAAGCCGGAAAAAAAACTTCATACTCTCATAAGCCTGTCATAACAACACTTATAACAAATAAAACGAAAATAAACGCCAGAATCTCGTCCTCTAATATAGCACATACTATCCATACATACGAAAAAACGATGTTTACCAGTTACCAAAATGTCTTCTTTCAATAGTCGATCATTTTCCTCAACAAAAAGGTATACTTTCATTCAATTTCAACATTAGGGTTCGTTTCAACTTATGGTTAGTTGGAAAAAATCTTATAAAACTCGACAAACAAATGACTCATATGTAGTTGTGCAAGATAATTCTTCTTCTGTAAAGGAGCAGCGTAATACATGTGTTCATCCTCTTCGAAACAACATCATGAAAGTTACATTTCTCCGTTTCTTTCTTTATTTTGAGCACTTTGGAATAAGAATAAAACAGAACAAGGAAAGATTAACATATGCACACAAATACAAGAGACAAATAATAGAAGGACTAATGAAGAATAACAGATTATTCATTGTTTCTAAGTGTTCATCTGAATGTATATTTAATACAAGAAACGTCTTTAACAGTATTTCCTTCAAGATTATCACATAACATATCGAATGTAAGTCAATGAACATAAGCAGGAATCGTTGTTTTTGTCACCATTTCAAACAGTACAGAAATTTTTCGTTTCATATCTTGTGCTTTACTTGTTTGACGAATGAAAGGTGGACCATAAATAATGGACAATCCGACTGAAACCATGTTCGATATCAATTTATGTTCATGTTTGAAGTATTCAATAAATTCTTCTAATGTCATATCACCTTTTACTTTAAATCGATCCCAAGATACTTTTAATGTTTTGGTGGTATTGGTTCAGAAGGTCCAAAAAATGCTAAAGCCAAATTAACAAATGCATTTCTATATGATTCTATTTTTTTTATGATGTTGAACAAATTTATAAACTTCAAGACAAATAAGTCCAGTTACCATTGCTGTTGTTGCTACAATAGCTGGAATAATATTTCCTGCAATTCTCTTCATTTTATTTCGATCAGCTTTTTGTATGTCATAATTTTCAGCTCGTAAATTTGCTGTTGCTACAATATAATCCATATGAAAATTTGTATCATCATCTTTTTCAAATTCATGTGATTGAATTTTAATATCAAATGTATCATCATAATTAGGTAATCGACTAAGAATTTGTTCAACTTCTACATCGTTTTCACTTGGATCATTTTTACGTATGGCACTCGTATTTTTTTTTTCGTTTGAGATCAGCTCGTAGTTGTTCATCATTTTCATGTATTATTACACCTGCTTTTGGTTTAAATTCAGGTACATGTACTTTTACAACTTCTTTAGCAATTAATTTACGATCACGTATTTGTGGTATGTAATACATGCGTGCAAGTAAATTTGATGCAGCTACAATAAAATCCAAATGAAGTTCATTATTAACATCAAATTTTAAAACATGTGGACATCGTTTATTTACATTCCAAAAACGATCACCTTTACTCGTAATATGGTCATATGGAAAATTATAAAGTAATTGAGCGATTGTATTATGAAATTGTTGTTCGAAAAGATTTCATGACTCTTTAATACAATCAATGAAATTTTTTTTTGTCCTTCTTCACCAAGAATACGTTTAATATTTTCACTCATTTCAGTTTTATCATATTCTGAATGATTTTTAGTTGTTCGTTCGACAAATTCTTTCGGTCCTCGCAAAAATTCTTCAACTCATTGAGGAGGAATTGTAAAGAGACCAGCAAAATTATCACGTACCCATTCAATTGTATGTTCAATTAAATTTGGAAAATTACGTAAAATACTCATTGCTACTGATGAATCAAATGGATCATTGCTTTATAAATAGGATTCAGTACGAAATGGAACAATAACCTGAACACTTACTTTTGTACCTAATGTACCACTATCAATCAATGGTTT